ACAAGATTAAACAATTTCATGAAAAAATTTCATAATATTAAACAATGAAATCGACAGATGAAGGTGGTTTGCACGGTTTACACAAATGAAGGCGGTTTTCATATGATCACTCCTATATATATATATATATATATATATATATATATATAGATTGATATTGATGATTTGATTTATTTTTGACATAATACTAATGACATTGACTTGTTATTATGATGTGTGTATGCATAAATTATGTTTCTAATTTAACTTATAAACATTGTTTTGTAACATAATTTTCTTAAATCGGTTCAAAAATGCAATTGTGCAGACACCATTTAAAGGTACAAAAAAATTGGATTTTTATAATAAGAGGGACTGCGATATCAATCAATCCATAAGTTTATATGGTTAGCCAAAATTAGACAACTACACAAGTACAGAGGGTCGGCCAAAATAAGCTAATCCGATTAGTTTCCACAAACGCCTTGCCACCTCCTAATAAATATCTACATCATTCTTTCTTTACATCATTTTCTCATTAATGTGTAATAAACAAAATACACCATTTTAAGATTTGATTAATACTCAAATCTCATTAAACTATCTCGTTACAGTCGAAAGATCGTGTGAGAAATAGAGTTAACGTGAGTAACGTAATAAGAGATTTGGACCGTTGATCACCGTTAATCTTAAAATTATCCATGAATCGTGTTTGATACGGGGTTTGATCAGGTGCATCTCGATCCATCTCATCTTACGTATATCTAACAGTCTAGATCCCTTCTTACACTTTTTACTGTAACTTTTTTTCCACCGAAACCCAACTGTTTCGTTACATTTGGTTGTTACTTTAATTATATGTATTTGTGTATATAATATATAATATATATATATATATATATATATATAATATAATATATATATCGATTAAACACGATTTAAAATAAATCAGAAATTAGTAGAATGAATATTTACTAAATTGGTGGCTAGATGCATAGGAGCTGCAGAACATTAATCCACAAGACATCCATTAATAAAGTTACAGTCGGTTCGCCGCATAAAGTGATCTCACCACTCATTCTATAAAAACCACCTCATGCAAACCCACTCTTCAATTCACTTCTCTATCATATACATTAATTTCTTTAATGGCACTACAGTCGACTTCTTTAATGGCACCAGCCTCGCCGGTGGTCTCAGTATCACCGTGGCACTCACCGGTGCCATACCTCTTCGGAAGCCTTGCTGCCATGATGGCTCTCATTGCTCTTGCTCTCTTCATCCTCGCCTGCTCCTACCGGAAACTCTCTCGGAACTTAACAAACAACAACGATGCCGGCGCCGGAGACGCTAAACCAGCTGACAATAATAATAATAACAAGACGCCACCTGTTTTAGAAGAAAAGTATCTCGTGATCATGGCTGGACAACAAAAACCGACGTTTTTAGCCAGACCCACTTTTTGCAGTAGTTGCCGGTGCAGTTCACCGACGACATTGGAGATGGCGAAAGAAGGGAGCAGTGAGCAAGTACAAGTAAGCATCGTGGTGTCTTAAGATTACTTATTTTGTAGGGGTGATGATGATGCCAGTGAGATTTCGAGCGGTGGTGGATCGTAGTAGATGTGACGAGGGGGCTCTGTGTTGTGTAGGGAACTGTTTTATGCTCGCCGTTTAATTTGATCGCCGGCAACGTACATATAATGATATAACTTTGAGTAAACTTCATTTTTGGTCCCTGTGCTTTTAATGTTTACTTGATTTTGGTCTGTGGAATTAGTTTATTACAAATTCGTCCCTGAAACAAACAGCATAGCAGTAAAAAAATCCGTTAAATAAGAAACAATTTGATCTATTTTTGTTTTCTTTTAAGAAAATAAAAACTAATATAATTAATGCACCACCACCCCTAGTGCCAACAACTTTTTGGTAAATCTCACAAGTTTTTGAGGTCTCTTCAAGACATTTTAGCAAATCTCGCTATAGGGGGAACGAGTCGATTGGGGTTTTAGCAAATCTCGCTATAGGGGTAACGAGTCGATTGGGGTTAATATATATAGAATTGGTATCACTCAACTCTGGGAATGGTCCAATGATCAAGAAGATCAAGGTGTTGAGGAATATCATATTCCTCTGTCATACTGTTATGAACAGTATCATCTCCGCCAGATCTAAACAGATTCATAAGAATCGTAAAACTGGGAAGTTTTTTCAAAAAACCTACTAGGAATAATTCCTTCTTGAATAACGTTTAGATCGGCACCGCTATCAATCATTGCCAAAAAATCTTTCTGAAAATGACCCCATCTTGCTCCTTTTGATTTTAATATTCAGCATATAAAAGGCAAAGATAATCACTTGCCTGATTTTTTAACTCGTGAATATCTTTCTTGATTTTATTTTCAGGTACCCTGATGTGCTTTGCATGAGCTCATACAGCTCTTACTCCTCTTATAGAGGAGGTGGCAGCTCTTCCTATGGAAGAGGTCGTGGTGGTAGAAATTCCTCTAATAGGGGAAGAGGAAATAATGTCATTGCCCAGATGGGTAAACAGAAGCTCATAGCTTCCGATTTATCACATGGTAAAGAAAAAGAAACTCCAGACTTCTTGAGTGATATCCCAGAAGACCATCCTCTTGCAGAGGCATACCTCTCTGATACCATCTATGTCCCAGATCTAACAAAAACAATCAAAACAGACAAGTTTGCCTCAAATCTCAAACCAAGGTTTTAAATACCCTAAACGGCACTCTTGGCCTCAGCGGGTGAAAACCAGTCTCAGAGATCTCAGAGGTAGACTTGACTGTTATTGAAGATCTTTACTAAATCTAAACATATAAACCAATCCATGTAAATCTATTAGAATATCAAATCAAAAATTGTTTTAACTCATAGTCCTAAATTAGCCGGCCATGAAGGCGGCAAGAAACTGAAAGATATAAAAGAAAGAACAAGGAACTTACAAAAAGCTTTTACCACTGTCGGTAAGCTTGTTCGTCTTATTTCTTTATTTTCCTTCTTGAATAACGTTTAGATCGGCACCGCTATCAATCATTGCCAAAAAATCTTTCTGAAAATGACCATCTATAAGAAGAGTGATTTTAGTAAACCATTTTTGAGTAATCATTCGGCTGATAGTAGCAAGAGTTGCATTATCAGAAGGCGGGGTTGTATTATTAGAATGCTGATTAGAAGCAAAAGAAGAGATATGTTCAGGTGTCTCAGTTGGAACATGAAAAGTAGCGTTCCTCACTAAAAGATCTTGACTTGCAGAAACAATGGCAAGATGTTTATGGAGAAGAATATTGTCTTCTTTTAACGCAGTAATTTCAGACTTTAGAATGGTCACTTCTTTGTGAAGATCAGTGACAGAAACCGCCGTGGAAGAAGAATGTTTATGCTGGAGAAGACGATGTAATTCTTTCATCGAGTAATCAATATTATTGATAGGAGGAGGAATAGAAGTAGCAGTAGAAAGACTGGAACCCGTTTTATTAAACTCAAGATTCTCTAAAATCTCAGAACAAATGATAGGATCTTTAATTTTTTGTAAAAGTTTTAAAACCTTTTCATCAGTTAAAACATTTATATTCAGATCCTGAAATTGAGAAAGGAGTTTATAAAACTCATCATGGTTGTCAGTAGAAGTGTTATTTTGAATAACATTAAGACAGTTCTTAATACAAGGTTGACCAATTGCGCAAGTATCACAAGGGGAATTTAAATCTTCAGGGTCAGAAGATAAATAAGAGTCATTGTCAGAATCATCAGTCTTAATAGAACTATTAGCAGAGCTAGAATCAGAAAGAGAATCAGGCTCATCATCAGAATTTTGGAAATTTAGAAAGATGTTTAAGAGAGAATCTTTCGTATTCTGATCAATATTTAAATTATTGATCTTTTTCTTGGTCCAACAATTTGCTGAAGAATGGCCAATCTTGCCACAATTTTGACAAATAATTTTGTTTTTCTTAAAACCCTGAGAGTTTCTGAAAGGTTTTTTGTGTTTGGAAAACTCGGGTTTTGTAGAGGTTTCAGCTTTGTTTGATTTTGGCAAATCTTTATCAAAAGTTTTTCTCTTAAACCTTTTTTTATAATGGCGATAACCAGAATCCTTATCGCGAGTTTTATGAAATTTTCTTTTAGGTTTCCATGCATGTTTTCATAAGACTCGTGAGATCATTTTTTATACTTGAAACTTCATAACAAACTGCTGTGAAGATTCGGCTTTTTTACTTTCTCAGCGTTTTGCTGAAGTTTCAAGTGTAAAAAGATGGTCTCACATAGGGGTGTGTGTATATATATATATATATATATATATATATATATATACAAAGAGAGAGAGAGCGTTTGGTTCAAATACTAACCAAGATTTTTGTGTTAACTTTGTTAACCAAGCTCAACCAATCATATTCCATTTTTTCTCTAGGTTCACATCTAACTCATATATTAATGACAAAGGTAATTAAGTAATTTGTCATTTATGTAACTCCCAAATCATTAATTGGGAGTTACAAATCTAAAAATCTCAATAATTGATGATTATGTAATATTGATATTTTTTTATGGGAAAAGTACAATAAAAACCAATGAACTTTCTTGTTTGGAATGATTAAGTCCTTGAACTTTTTTTT